TATTGTATTACAAGGCAGCAAGGCAGCAGTCAAGGTGTTTTGCTTCAGGGATTCCATTTAGGATTTTGATTTCTTTGGCAGGTTTGTGATAACTATCTTTTTTAATTGGAAGACTAATGTACTAAAACATATGCTATTGCCCCATCGCTGTGATACTTATTATATACAGTGATGACCAGCTATCTCTGGTATTCTCTTGGTCTTCTGTGTTATACATTAGGAAATCAGTCAGCATTTGTGCATGGAACCACTCAGTTGCACTTGATCTTATATCATTGCTTTTGAAGACTACCAAGTCATAAATCCAGATAACCTAGAAATACATCAAAAGGAATGATTACTGAAATGCCCATACTACTTATAACATGCCTTAGTCCCCAAAGATATCCAATGGAGCCTCAGAAAACAGTCCTGATTTTTGGCCACAGCTCGTTGGGTGCCCATGCCCCCTAATTCTAGAATGTATAAGCAGGTGATACACCTAATCAAGGATGATAAGCTGTTGTGAGATGTTGATGGTTACAACAGCTGCAGTCCTGGAATGACAAAAAGAGGGCAAATCTTGCCTAAACAGGTGTGCCTTTGTAGGTATTGTGGCTGGATCTGATTTGCTGCCTCCTCACACCCACTGGCTTAGTGAACCTGGCTTCCCTTTCCTCACTTCCCTTCCCATATTTTTGGGAGGCTGGTTAGTTGGTGCCAAGCCATATGCCTGGCTTCCTCCTGCTATCTATCTTATATCCCCAGCTCCTTGTCCATTTCAGGGCATCTAATAGCCTGTCTTTAATGGGTTAACCTTGTGTCTCCACCTGTGACGACCATTGTCATGTAACTTCCAGCCTGATTGGGTTGTGAGAGTTGAATCACTGTAGCAGGGCTTCTCCTCACCATGTCCTTGACACTACAGTTTTTCTTGGCTTTATTAATATAGCAGCTATATAATGTGCCAGCTATACATAATGCTTAGCAAAGCACTTCCCATCTATTATCTAGTTGCAACCCTTATGAGCTCAAAAGGTAAGATAAGTGTAATTATCTCCCTATTGCAACTGTAGGTTGAGGGCTGAAGTGAAGGCAGGGTAGCTTACTTAAGGCTCCAATTGACTTTGTGTGTGTTATGTGCCATCAAGTTGCTTCCAATTTATGGCAACTGTATAAGTGACCTTAAACCACGGCATAGACAAGATACCATACAATGTCTTCCTGATTTGTAGCACAGGCTCTTCGTCACTATGCTGCTAGAACCAGTACAGTCACTTTTGTGTTCTTCCATTCTCCATGTTCAAGAGCTGCATCCACCATCTAAATACAGTTGGTAAGCCTTCAGAGCCAATTCCAAAATTAAATCCTATGCCCATTACTAAAATTCTGCATGCATTTGAATCTGCAGTCCTTCCTGAAACCATCACTATCTCTCAACCCAAGCTACCTTGCTGGATTTTTGTGAGGATAACATGGGACGGCACTTATGTAGACTATTTTGAGCTCCTTTGAAAAAGGGAAGCATTGCATAACAGGATAGTCCAAAACCCAGAGAGGTGCACCAATTAACAACATAAACAAAAGAACAATATCTCAAAGGCACTGCAGAAGACTAATTTTATTTTCAGAAAAACAGCCCCAAATTTTGCATGTATGTATCTCATGGGTGGGGGAACTGCAGGCTGTGGAAGGTCAGTAGTTCAGCAGTTCAGGACCCAAGTGTGCCGCGTGACGGAGTGAGCTCCCGTCTCTGGCCCCAGCTCCTGCCAACCTAGCAGTTCTAAAGCAAGAAATTGCAAATAGATAAATAGGTACCACTTTGGTGGGAAGATATCAGCATTCCGTGCGCCTCGGCGTCTAGTCATGTGGGCCACATGACCATGGAAGCATCTTTGGACAGCACTGGCTCTTCGGCTTGGAAACGGAGATGAGCACCGCATCCCTAGATTCAGATTTGACTGTCTTTCGAGCAAGGCAAACATTTACCTTTACCTATCTCATGGGCATTTTCCCTTTTCAACGCTGTTTAAGAGAAGAGAGTTTTCAGTTACTTCCCATCTCTTCTAGTTTTCCTCTGTTTTGCATCCTAAGTATATGAACCACTGTTCTTATATGTACCAGCATGGAAAAATTCTGTATTGCACGGGAATACTATGACATGCCTGTAGAGTATTATGGTTTTTGGTAAAGGAAAAATTCTGTATTGCATGGGGATACTATGACATACCTGTAGAGTATTATGGTTTTTGGTAAAGCAGCCTACAAATAAATGTACTTTTATGTTTTGTATATTGGTGACATAGCACAAGACATTGTGAAAATAATTTAAGACAAAAGAAATCAATAGTTCTGATATGTAGATCTATGAAAGCTTCAGTGCATACTCTGAAATCCTGCATGCCAAGATTCCCCCATTCATCTCATTGTCAAAGTCATTTCCACATGTCTCTTCTCTCATCTGTTCTTATCTTGAAGCTTCTTATATTGTAAAAGTATTCCACAGATTATTGCTTTTAGTAATAACGCTGGAAAACTATTAAAGCTACGCACAGTTTATCGTATTTGTTAGTATATGATAAACCTGTCTGATATAGTATATGATAAATCTGCCATTCTGACAAGGAAGAAAGAATAGCATGTTTTTTTCTTCCTCATTTTGTCATTACAGCATCCCTTTGAAGTAGGTTAAGCTGACAGCATGTGACTGGCCTAAGGTCACTTGAACTTCATAGAAGAATGGAAGCTTGAACATGGGCCTCCTAGATCCCAGCCCAGTTACTATACTGAATTGGCCAGCTCTTCAAGATGGATTAGATAGATAGATAGGTAGGTAGGTAGGTAGGTAAAGGTAAAGGTAAAGGTAAAGGTTCCCTTGCTCGAAAGCCAGTCGAATCCGACTCTAGGGTTGTGGTGCTCATCTCCGTTTCAAAGCCGAAGAGCCAGCGCTGTCCGAAGACGTCTCCGTGGTCATGTGGCCGGAATGACTAAACACCAAGGTGCACGAAACGCTGTTACCTTCCCACTGAAGTGGTACCTATTTATCTACTTGCAATGTCTTGCTTTCGAACTGCTAGGTTGGCAGGAGCTGGAACTAGAGACGGGAGCTCACTCCATCATGCGGCAACTCGGGTCTCGGACTGCTGAACTACCGACCTTCCACAGCCTGCAGTTCAGCGTCTTAACCACTTGAGCCACCGCAGCTCACAGATAGATAGATAGATGCTAATAAATTATGTTTCTTCTAACAGTCCACTGGCAGAAGCAACATCAGTACACTTAGACCGATTTCCCACAAGCATTGCTTCACGCTTGCTCGTGTGAAATTGACAGGTACCATCTGGGCAAAAGGGAAGAGCAAGCTGGAACTAGAGACGGGAGCTCACTCCATCATGCGGCAACTCGGGTCTCGGACTGCTGAACTACCGACCTTCCACAGCCTGCAGTTCAGCGTCTTAACCACTTGAGCCACCGCAGCTCACAGATAGATAGATAGATGCTAATAAATTATGTTTCTTCTAACAGTCCACTGGCAGAAGCAACATCAGTACACTTAGACTGATTTCCCACAAGCATTGCTCAACGCTTGCTCGTGTGAAATTGACACGTACCATCTGGGCATCCAAAATAAACAAGTTAGCACAGGTAAGGGAGAAGGTAGCTTGTGTTTGAAATGGACATTTATTCTTCTCCAGTGTCTCATTGTGATGGAACCCTGACCCACTTCACTGCAGCCTGCAGTAGCTTCCGGCCTCTCCATTCTGGATCATAGCACTGTCACTCTTGTGTTGTGCATTTGGAGAAACAGCCCTAATAATTTGAACCACAAAACTCCATTAACGCCATAAGGTAAAACTATGGCCACAAAGGGAAGCTAAGTGGAGTGCTTTGAGCTTCCCTTGCAAATAAAAACTGGTTCACATGTGCAAGGGCAGTGAGGTGACTCAGTGTTAGCAGACATCTGAGAAGGTAGAATGGACCGCGCCATGTGTAGGTGGAGGATCATGCAAGATCAGTTTTTAATATTTCCCTATGTTAAAAATAACCTGCAAATAGAAAATCAATCAATCAGTCAGTCATTCCTTATAAAATAGATAAGATGGACTAAAACAAGCAAAGAAAACCTATGCCAGCAAATTCATTTTAGCTGTATCTGAAGAAGTTATCAGTGAGTGACTCATGAAAGCTCATACCCTACCACAAATTTTGTTAGTCTTTAAGGTGCTACTGGTCTCTTACTCTTTTCTACTGCTACAGACAGACTAACATGGCTACCCATCTTGATCTCTTTTCAAGCAAATAAAATCTTCCCCCACTTTCTAGTTCTCTGAAGTGGTACTGTCTATTTTTCCACCCGTGATCTGCCATCTTCTTTCCACCTCTATCTTCCACATACGTGAAGTCAACAAATAATGGCTCCCAGGTGTCTTTATTAGCCTGTCTACTCACACTTAGGCTTAATTCAGGCATAATGTGAAATTGTGGTTTAGTCAAGCTACTATAGTTTGAACATAGGCCTTCCGTTTACTGTGGTTAGCTATGGTCCATCAAACCAGTTTCCTAAACCAGGTTTGAAATTGGTGTACTCAATTAGTCTTAAAATTGTGGTTTGGGGTGAAATGCAAACGTGGACATCTTAGCTGAATCTTTGCTGATTCCCTCATTCTGCCCTCACACACTGTCTGCCTACAGAGACACCTGGCCAGACTGAAGGTGATAAAACCAGCTCTGAGCAAGACAAATCAGGATATGAATGATCATCCCAAAATTCAGCTTCACAATCTAACCAGAGTTAAAATAAACCATGGTTTCACATTATGTCTGAACTAAACTAGCCTGAATGACAAAAAGTTTGCAAAAGTTTTTCTGGTGCCCTGGATCCCATTCTGATTCACCATATTTGCCCAGTTTTTACATTTGAACATATCAAACTTGTTTGTGTGTATACATAACTGTCTTTTGTTGATGCATTACTGAAAGCCCAGAAGCTATACATTGTCTGTTTTCTTTCTTTCTTCCAGATTCTCAAAACCAAAGACCTAACATCACCAATGCAACGTTACATTGATAGCAAGGTAGTTAAAACAAGAGCCGAAGGTGAATGGCTATCTTTTGACGTAACTGATGCTGTACATGAATGGCTCCATCATAGAGGTGACAGACAATACCATTTTCTTTGTTTGTTCGTTACAGTCCTTTTTATCCTGCCTTTGGACAAAGCCCCAAGGCAGCTTACAGCATTTTCTTTTTAAATCGCAATAATAAAACAATAAAACTAAAACTGTAAAAAGCTTAACATTTCTCATTTAGAGCCTCCTTACATTAATTGTAGGCCACTTCAAGTCTGCAGCTAATCTAAAGGTAATCTTGTGTTTTGCAGACAGAAATCTTGGATTTAAGATAAGTTTGCATTGTCCATGCTGCACGTTCGTGCCTTCAAATAATTATATCATCCCAAACCAAAGTGAAGTGCTAGAAGCAAGTTTTGCAGGTAATAACAGAGCTTACAAATTAAAATTGTTATGTCATAAATAAGTTTTCTACAGCCTGTTTAAAATATGAAACCACAATGGTATCAAGGAACTGGAGAAGATGTGCATGTATGTGAGGATAGAAATTCTGGAATATCCTCTTAGAAACTCTTGTGTAGCAACCATTTCTCAAGTTTGGAACATCAAAAGTAAGAGGTTCTTAAGCTTTTGGAGGGGGGGCAGACTCATCCCCAACTGTGTTAGTACTGATCCAAATTATTCTACCTGTAGTGATCTATGTGATTTATCTGGATTTGCCCTGTAGCTCTCTGCTAAGAACAAAGGTATAGAATTTCAGTTTAACTAGATGAAAAAAATCAGATTTCTCTTGAATAATTAACCTAACAAATTATTCAGCCTGATCCTATAGATGCAAAAACGTATACCACAGGTGATGCTCATGGAAACCCAAGGAGTCAGAGACATAATTTGAGCCCATTCCAGTGAGTGAGGCATTGTGTGTAATATATCTGGTAGTCGCAGCTGAGTTTGCAGTGAAGATGGGGAAACAATTCCAGATGCGCATTTTCAGGTGAACCTGTTAACTCATCCAGAAGGCTGCTTCTGCATGGGGAACCTCCTCACCAGAAAGGATCTTTGTAATGTGGCTGCTTCTTTCTTATGGCCACTCTCTTGCTGCCTCATTAGTGTCTGAATTTATGTATCATGTGGGCTGCTTGACTTTTGTTAGTACATCCTGTCATGTTTGGGACAGTAGCCTGAACAATGAGAAGAAGAGAAGGTGAGCCAACGAGCTTCTGTAGTTCTCTTTTCTGTAGTTCTCTACTCCAGTGGACTTTACCGCACCCATCACTGTACCTCCACCTGACAGGCTTCATAACCTTTTACAGGTTTGTTATAGAACCCAGTGTATAGGATACACAACTACCAGGTAGAGTGGACAGCAAAGCTTCAGAGACTAAGCTGCTTACACAACAAAGCCAAGTTTTTACTGAAGATTTGAAACCATCAGTAACATAAGCAGCATATACGGAAATCGTAGCGGATTTGGGGCAACAAAATAACAAAGGAAAATGCATCCAGATAAATCTAAGTGGACTGGTCCCAATCCTGGCAAATTCTAAAATAATTTTTTTCCTTTTAAAAAGTTTTTTATTGCTTTTCCACTACACATACTACAAGGAAAGGGAAAAAGGGGCTAAGACTAAAATACAAAGCTAAAGCAAGGATCATCTTTCATAATTATATAAGTAGCTTATAGTAATTCCCATCCTTAAAGTAAACTAAAAATATAAGAGGAATAAAACTGTTTAAGATTAATATAGAGTCAAACTAAAGCAAGCATATTTAGCCAAAATAGATGTAAGCCTGTTTCTCATATAACAAACGGATAAAAAACTTTCAGTTAAACTACATATTATTTTGCATATTTCTTGTTTTTCTTGAGTTTGCTCTTGTCATAGGTCAGTCTAACTTTGAGGAGTTTCGGAGCAGCTTCTCTTTTTTGATCATCAGAGTCCTCTGAGGATTTGTCAGTTGTACTTACTCTGCCTCCCGATTCATGTTCACTTTCTTCTTCAGTTTGTTTAGTGTCCTCTGTTTTCCCTTTTTCTTTGGCTGTTGTTTGATGTTTCTTCACAAAAGCCTTTGCTTTTTGTACAGTCAATCTTCTCTTTCTTATCTTTAAAGTTGAAGATAAGTCCTTCCGGAAATATCCATCTGTAGGGAGTGGATTGTTTGCATAAAAAAGAAGTTTGATTTTTATACTGTCTCCTCCACTTGTGTGTTTCAAATTGAATGTCTTTTAGTATTCAGATTTCTTCATCTTGGATTTTCAGGGTTATCCCATTAGTAGCTTTTAAGATTGTGTCTCTCGTTGATCTCTTGGAGAACGTAACAAATACTTCACCTGGCAGTAAAAGAATTTTTCCCCCAGCACAACCTGGTTCCCTTCATAGGTCAGCTACTGTCCTTCATACAGCAGACAAGTTCTCCAGCAAAAATTTCTTCCAGTTTGGTTCTGCAGTGCTCTGTCCCCTTATTTCAGCTCTTTGGTCTCTGGTTCTTGTTGTTTGTATAGGTTAGTCCTGGTACTCCTTTCACTAATCAATGAGGTCATCTCTAAGTTTCAGTTCTCAAAAACTCTTTTAAAGTTTCATTGTTCTGGATCCTCAAGAGACCCTCTTTTTTGGTTTCTGTACCCAAGGCTGACCCATCCGCTCTCTATCTGAAACTTATCAAAGATGGGTTTTCCCCAGAGGCAACCACTTTAAATATTAAAACATAACAGCAATGAGTAGGAAGAATTCCATTCCCCTCCCCTGAGAGAATCCTGGCGCCAGTGGGGGTGTGGCACTGGCATGAAGAGTATTCACATGATATTGAACTTCAGACATTATCAGTGAGATGGACAAGCCTAACTTATGGTAAAGCAGCAACTATACCACAAAGCAATGCTCCCTCTAAGCTGTGGAGTCTTGTGAGGAAAAAATCCTACTTTGTGAGCTACTGGCATTAAAGTTGTGAGTGGGTGATGTGGCTACTGCATAAATTAGTTTTCTCTAGAGTTATTCTTCCTTAGCTAATACAAAAATGTGTGAGCCAGAGGTTAAAAAAACGTGAGCTAGCTCACACTAACTTAGCTTAGAGGGAATACTGCCACAAAGATAATCTTCAATAGAGGTAAACAGCCTTTTTGGCCTGAATGCTTGGGGTGGGGGGGACGATAGCATCTATATATGAATATATTGGTGTGCTGGTAAACAAAGATGATGGTAGGGACAAGACAAGCCTCAGCCTTACTTCCAGTGCCTCAGATGCTTGTGGTGGACCCTGCTGTTTGCTGTGCTGGGCTGTTGCCTTCTCCCATAAACTATGCTTCTTGCCTTCTCCCATGACAATAATCTCAGCAGCAGTGCCTCAGCCTGGCATCATTGCTTGAGTAGAAAACTGACTCTGCGCACAGGCCAAAATAGTTTGGTGTGCTGCTGTTCAGTATGTGTGCCAGGAGGTGCCCTCCCCCGATCTCTAAATTAAGTTTTGCCATAAAGGCAAGCAGCATTATAACTTGTTAATTGTAGGAGTAACATGAATCGTTTGAAAGTTTGGGTCAAATACTTTCATATTTATCATACACATAGCCCTTGACACGTTGAACCACCATGTATAGAGACTATCTCATTCATGTTGAGCCAGCAACTGGGAACACTGGTCCTAGGTCTTCCAGCTTTTCACTTCAAAAGGAAGTGCATTCTTTCTTGCCAATCCACATGGGATGTTAATTTCTGCCTTCAAAAAATAAACAGTCATGTGATCCTTTGTGAGAGTATTGAGCACAAGAAGCAGACCCCAGCATAGTATGGTGTGGTCAAGAGTGGCAGACTGCAATTTGGAGAACTGGGTTTGATTCTCCACTCCTCCACACGAAGCCTGTTGGGTGACTTTGGGCCAGCCACAGTTCTTTAAGAACTCTTTCAGCCCCTCCTATCTCACAAGGTGCCTGTTGAAGGGAAAGGTGACTGTAAGCCGCTTTGAGGCTTCCTAGGGTACAGAAAAGTGGGGTATAAAAACCTTCTCTTCTTCTTTTATTGGCTGACTACCAGATAATCAAATGGCACCTGTTCATGCTGGAATCAAGTCAACTGCTACATGGCCATGCCATTTCCCACCATTCATTTTACAAGTAATAGCGGGAACTTACAAGCAATGTATGTGTTTCCCTTTTCCAGAATGGTCCTTCTTGCATTCAAATGAGATGGTCTTCAGTGATCTTCAGACAGGATCTAGGAAGATTATTTTCTGTTTATGTTGCTGCCACATACATTACCAAAACACTTTTGGCAAAGAAAATTGTCCTTAACTCTGCACATTACTTCAGGAACATATCAGTGTAGTGTAGACATTTATAGAAGCAAATCCTGTTTGGTTGTTATTGGAATTCTAAGAAGGAAGAATGAGTGAGGAGAGATGTAAATCAGCTACAAGCCCAAGCCTAATAAAGTAAAAGGGACTGTTCTAGAGGAGGTGTGTGGAATGCTGGTTGCTAAGCACCAGCGAAGAGGGCAGGCTGTGCTTTTCAGTGTAGGCCAGCCCTAATCAGCAGGGCTGAGTGCGCAATTTACAGTGGTATCCTATACAGGGTTACTTCATTCAAAGTTCACTGCATAAGATTGCACTGACTCAGAACAAAAAGAGGCATACTGGTGGATGAGAGGGGCTGAACTCTCTCCTGCCCTTTCCCCCAGTTGCTCTTTCTCAATTGAACTCACAAATATTGGAGCCTGGCTGAGGGGGAAAGTACTTGGAAGATGGATTCCATGAGAGGGGGAAGCTGCAGGTAGAAGGAAAATCCTACATCCATACCTGTGCACACCTTTATCCTTTAAATTGCACCCCCACTATACATGTGATTTGGACAGACTGATGGATAAAGACACAGGTTTGCTGCTATCACATGTAGCTTGACCACAGAGTCACAGGTATGAGGATCTGGAATGTTTTGTTTATGTGTGTGTACTTCCTTTAATGATTCTTTGTTGGATTTTGATATACTGTAGTACCTAATTTTCTGAATATCTGACTTTGATGTAATCCTACCCCAATTAAAACCCATGGTTTTCTGAATGATTTCAGTAGAAGTGGATTGCATCCAGTCCGATTGTCCATAGTCCTAATGTGTTTCCCATGTATCATCCTGTCAGTGTAACTGTGTACGTTATATTCTAGATTATAAGAGTTTCACAGTATCCAAATGTTTTGGATGTCCTCTACTCAAATTTAAAACGAGGCCATGGTTTTACTTAATCGGGATAGATGAATTGTGTACATGGTTTATGCAACAAACATTCTAATGGTGCTGAAAAGAGTTAACGCTCCAGTCCAACTAAAGTTAGTCATGATTAGGTCCCAATGAAACCAAAAGAGCAAACTAAGCTTGACCAATTTAAGTCCCACTGCTTTCCATTTTAATTAGAACTGTATTTATTTAGATATTTCTATCTTTTATTCCTAATGGAGGCCCAGTGTGGCTTACAATAGTGTTCTCCCCTCCTCCGTTTTATTTTCAGAACAACAACCCTGTGAGCATGATTAGGCTGAGAGAGGGATTGTCCCAAGGTCACCCAGCAATCTTCTATGGAAGTGTGGGTATTCAGACTGGGTTTTCCCAGACTGTAGTCCAACACTCTACACCTTGCTGGCTAACTACATAACCATGAGTAACTTTAGGTGGACAATGGTCTGTAAACATATGAAAGTTGAAAAAGAAAGAAAAATATCATTAGAATGAATTTTGTTTTTGATTAAATAAATATCAATGTGCATGATAATTACAGAGAAAGTAATATATATATGAATATCTGGTGATCGTATTACATTTGGTGAGTTGTTATTAATATGCATGAAACCCAGCATTGTAGAACAAGTTCTTCTGCCTTGATTTTCTACTGAATTACATTAAAAAAACCAATTAGATTCAGTGAAGATAGGCACAGTTTCAATTTGGACAGTTCTCCAAGCCACAGTTTGACGGATTGATGCTGACTCACACACTCCCTATCCATCCTCTCCTCTTAGTGTCAATTAGCTCCATTTGTGGGTTGTTCTAGTCATGATCTGCCATGATGTTCATATTGGGAAACTTGGGCTAATAATGGTATGAAAGCTAATATAAACAATAGCTGTCCAGTTTGGGCAGAGGAAATAGTGGTGAATCAGTGTGTGAGGAAGTATGATGAAGTGGCAGCACATGAGATGGCAGCATGTTACTATATCTCTGAATCATGTTCCGAAGAAGCATCCATACTCACTACAATGATAAATATGAGGGTCAGTGATCTTCATTTAATCCTGCATGGGCTCCATTCCACACTCTCAGAAGCATACCAGGATGTGATCAGTGCATCCAAGTGATACCAGCATCCCTGATTTTCCTGTGAATCAGGTTTCTTATAAAGAGATGGTTTATATAATTTGTTCCAGAAAAGCAACACAATATTTATTACCAAAATGTATTTTTTGAAGGTCTTGAGGACTACCACAGTGCTGAGAAAACTTTAAAGTCCAATAGGAAAAAATACAGTGGGAAGAACCCACATCTTCTGCTAATGTTGTTACCCTCCTACAGACTTGAGTCGCAACAGTCCAGTCGACGGAAGAAGCGTGCTCTAGATGCTGCCTATTGTTTTAGGTAACTATGGAAGGAAATTTTGTTTATGCACAAGCATAGAAATATGTTGCTCTTCATGTGCTTATCAGTGTAGCCCAATAATTTCATGGTTGCATTCTTTCTCAGATCCATCCATAAGTATTAATAAAGCCTGCATTCTCTTGCAGCAGAGCTTCTACAGTCTGTGTTCACAGTTCTCAGTAAGAACTGAAGAATCAGATTTTTCTGCTGGCCACCTCCTCCCCAAGATACTTCACATGTTCAGAACTGATTGATTGTGACATGAACTTTTACATTGACACTTGTACGTAGAAGGCAAGCAGTATTAAATATTTCTGAAGTATATCTTATTTCTGTGCTGATCCACACACACACAAACACACATGCCTTTAGTACAAGAGTGACTATGTTTTGTAAAGCCATGTACAATTCATATTAATTTGAGGATATCTTGGGAATGGTTCAGATATTTACATTTTCCTCCAGAATCATGTATCCTTCCTTAGCTCTCACATTCACACAGACAATGTGTAGTCCAAGTACAGCCCTTCCATAGATAGTGCTTTGTGGACTTCTGGAAGCAAGAACTGTGGTCACAGTGGCTAGGAAATGTGCCACTATAAGCTCTGCAACTGCTGCCAAGAAGTCACAGCTGTACCTGTGAAAGGGCCATGTCCACATGTTCAGGTTATTTGGGGTGAATTTGTCTGGGGCATGCATCTTGCAGCAGACATGGAGCCCATCTTCAGTGTTTACTTTTGCTCTGCTCCCTGGATTACAAGTAGTAGAGAGAGGCATTTTAGGAGAAGGTGGAGCTGGTTCCACATGGAATGATACTTCAAAGTAAGAATGCATTTTGCTCTCTGAAGAAGAATCTAAACTAACTAATTTGTCAATGAGAGGACAAGATTTTTGAGAGTTTGTTCAACTTCAGTCATGACAACACAATCACAGGCTGTAATCCAAAGAAGTAATAATTGTGCATTAGGGAGATAACCCAGAGCTTCATCAGAATGTTGCTTCACCTTTTTCTGACTCAGCAGTTCCCAAATGTTAATTTGTCAAGGCACCTTGTCTTTTCAGCAAATATGCAGCAGAACCACTATGTAAAGTTCTGGCTCCAAGCACAGTTTTTCCTCCATGGTCACATTTGCCACTTCAAACTTAAGCTCTGTGCAGAGATGTTAAAAAGACAAGTGCCTGCCCTGCCAGAGGTTTACAGTCACAATATATTCTGAGAAGGAAAGCAAAAAGGAAGATTAATCTTTTCAGAACCACATTTCAGTGGACTGTTTGATGTAGCAAGGCTGTAATCCTAAAAACAGTGGGGAGTAAAATTAACTAAAATGGGTCTTACTTCTGAGTAAACATGTATAGGCTTGCCCTGTTATTGCATTCTGCCTTTAGCTCTCTTCCCATCAAAAGGCAGAGCAAGCTTTGGTATCACTGTTTTGTAGAGCCCAATGCAAGGAAGAAGATAAACTGTAAAAAAATATAACTCATTTAGATCATAGCCCTTTAATAAGGAGGAACTATGTTTCAGTGGTAGAAATATTTTAGGATGTAATTATTTTAGAGACACTTATGCACATGTTAAATTGAAATCAGTGACCCCAAAGACCTCATCTTTGAATTGGCAGTCCAATTCGTTCCAATTTTAGTATATGTGCTGCCGAAGCGAGCACAAGGCAGTCCAATTCAAATTATGGACAGCTTTAAAAGGAGGTTAGAGAGATTTATAGAGGATTGTTCTATCAGTGGCTACTAATCATGGTGACTGAGGCATTAAATCTCTTAATACCAGTGCCAATACACTAGGGGAAGACCTCAGCCTCTATGCCCTGTTATTGGCCCTCCAGAGTAACTGTTCAAGACAGGATACAGGACTAGATGGACCACTGGTCTGATCTAGCAGGGTTTTTCTTGTATTCTTAGTTCAGAACTGAACTTTTTTTAAAAAAATGGAATTTGAAAGTGCTTTAGAAAAAAAGCAACATTATTAATTTTGAGGTTTAATATTCTGAACTGAAAAAACTAGATATCAGATATGTGGATGGCATTTTTAAATTTTGTGATTTCCCCCCTATTTATTCATTTAAATTATGTCAATGCTGCCTATCCGCCCAAACAGAGTACCCAAGGTGGCAAATATCAAAACATAAAAAATTTCAACATTAAAATATGTAAGATATTAAAACAGTATTTAAATTAAAGTATATCTAAGCTACTTTAAAAATTCAATAAAACATATAAACACACATAACAACAAACCATGGGAGGAGGCCCAATAACAATTATTGGGAGTACTCCAAACAAACAAAAAAAGTACTCACTTATTGGCAGAAGACAGCAACAGAGGGAGATGAGTAAATCTCCCTGGGGAGGGAGTTCCAAAGTTTTGGCACCATGACCAAGCAAGCGCTTTCTCAGATTGCCACCCATCAGATGGTGGGGACACTGAAATCTATAGATAACTATAGATAACAATCCTCATTTGCTGACTGATCCCTAGCTCTTATCAAACAGAGGCATTCTTCTATTAAGCTGGAGACTCCTCTGGGCTATCATGGTTAATAACCAACAACAGACACGTCCTCCACAGATCTGTTCAACCTCCTTTGAAATGTATTTGAATCCTTCAAATCCATTTAAGCCAGTGGTCATCACTACATCTTGTAAATGTGAGTTCTGCAAGTCATCTGCCAGTGGTGTACTTCCTTTTGTCTGTTTTGAATCCTTTCCAGTCAGTTTTGTAGAGTGGTCCTGAAATCTAGTATTATGGGAGAAGGGAAAAAAATTCTCCCTCTGCACTTTCTCTACACCATGCATAATTTTGTAGATGTGTCATGTCTCCCCTCACTCACTTTGCCGAAGATCAGTGCCCATTGTTTCTTTGCCATCTGTGATTATTTCTCGACCCTTCTTGAAACTAATAGTGATAATAGTAGGCATGAGTAAGAACTGTTAAGATTTACAGATTTCAAAAAGTGCTCGATTTGACTGGATTGGGCCCAGTAATAACAAGAAGGATATTTCTGTAAGAGCATAAATAGCATATTTGAAGAGCTCTCCAAAAATAATCTTGGCTTCTGGCTTCCTCCTGTGCCTACGCCACATGATACCACCATCTAAGCAGCTTACTGTGAAACAGGATGAGTGTTTCTCCTTGCTTGCTAGAGACAGGGCCTTATATCATATAAAGAGACTGGGCAGCCAAATAGCCTGTTCATTTCCAGGAGGGCCCTCAAGTAGCTCTTATTCTTTCTTTGATCAATCTGCTTGGGCATTTTGGGGCTACATATTCTAAATCAAAGGCGACTGTCCTACACTGTCTTTTTATTACTAGCATCTCCACTAGTGCACCATTGTGTTTTAAATGATACATGCTTACGGTCTCTTAATAATTAAACCATGTAATATGAGTGATCTTGAGTATTCTCCATAAGACAAGCCTTGCTGCATCATGTGAACAGAACAAGAATTCTTTGGAACAATTCCAAAAACTAGCAGCAACTAGAAAATCTCCAGTGGTCCAGCAATGAACTGTAACCCTCTGCCCACCCTTGCTGTAGATCAGTTAACATGAACAAAGTGTCAATTAAAGAAGGGAAGGCAAAAATGTTAATCCATTTAGGACCACAAAATTTTTTGTCAACCCTAGTCAGTGGTGAAGGTGGTGAGTAGAAGTAGTCCTAAATTTGACAATATATACCACACTGTAAGACATAAGCAAAAACTTGGAATACCTCCAAACAACCTCAACTTTGCACATATGGATATAATTCAAGATAGGGAAAAATGGCTGCATGCGGAAGGGAAGATCATTTTAAGTTCCTTGTGAGGTGAAAATGAGAACAGAAACTGTTCTTTCAGTTTATTGTATATAAAGACAAGCAGGAGACCCTCCAAGATTTGAATGGGGGGATTTCATTTCCCCCCTGTATCTTCCTTCCCTATTATTTTTTCTTTCCCTTCCCCTGTAGCCCCCATATCCTCTTCCCTTTTCTTGCTTGCTTCTCTCCTTCCCACCCACCAGCCAACCTACTTTATCTGCCCCTCTGTCTTCTGCTCCCTCTTTCCACCTCACAGGCATTTTCTATTCGAGAAAAGTCAGGCCCAGCTGCATAGCATGGACTAGGCCAGTCCCATTCCAATTGCATGTATGTATAGATCTCCCCCCTCCCCCAATATCTATAATCTATCTATGATTTCTCGGAAAATCTTATACTACTTTCAAGTTTTTAAAGAAATCCCTCTATCTGTCCCTAGCTGCATTTTGCAGATTTAGTAATCTATACTCTAGGGCTCAATTTGGAGTTAGATTAGGGTTGCCAGTCCCCAGGTCCTGGTGGGGGTTCCCCTGGTTTTTGGGGCTTCAATTCACCTCTGGTCAGTGGAAGAAACTCCACCCCCAAACAACCACACCCCCGTGCAACATCCCAGGTTGAGGGCAAAACTCTATGGTAAATTTGGCCTAAAACCATAGTTCTGCCCTCAAACTAAAGCATCGCTGCACAATGTCACCAATGCTATAACATCACTTCTGGGTGATGTCATCATGCTGGGAATGCCTCCCAAATCCCCCCACCAGTGTAGCAAGGAGACCTGGCAACCCTAAGTTAGATATACAGTAATGACTCTGTAGTATGTTATCTGGAAAGCCTTTCCTTCCAAGATTTTGTGGAGGAGGAATGCAGTAAGGATTAAGTTGGTTCTTGTGTACAGGTACCATTAACTTTAGTTGAAGATTTAATGCTACATGAAATTAATAGATAAAAGCCTGGCCTTTTGACCAATATTTAAACATATGTATAAAACCACTATAATTAAAGCATCTGATTTGGTTTCCAGACTGTTACTTCAAAAAAACAAAACCCTTCACTTTCATATTCCTGGTAGAATTCTCTACTTTTTGGTTATATATTTGAATTACTCTATTTATCTCCTTCACTCTTTCTGGGACAACAAGATCAATTGATACCAGTACAAAAGGCAGGTCTGCTGCCTTGGTGGGGAGGGGAGCATATGGGGACAAAATTCTGGGTACTCTAGTTGTTTTGGAGGCTGGGAAGCTGGACAAGGTGGTTGTGAGGACAAAATGAGGGGACGGAGTACCCTGTTGTGATCTCCTTGGAGCAAGTATGGGATATAAATGTTAAGAATGGAATGGTGCACATAATTATTAGACTATGCCAATGGCAAGTTATGGGATTTATTTTCATGTGACACCTGGTTTGTCTAGATGATGTGAGGAAGGTCCCCCAGGGAATCTTTTTCTGGGAGACCATGTTGATTCTAAGCTAGTCTGAGGGCTGGGAGATCCCAGTTATTTCAAATGGCTTTACTAGAACTTAGTCTTAATGTTCTTTTGAATCAGACTTTCTAATTTCATGGAGATCACATACAGGTAAAATATTTTTACCTGTATCTTTCTCACAAATAGAAGTTGTTTCAGATTTGCAATTGAGAAGGGGGTCAGAAATCTTCAGTCCCCCCAAAAGCTACAGATTAGCCCAAACACTACCGAAATGTAGATTCATTATAGAACATTCCTGGCACCAGCTTTCCCTCACGATACCTGCCCTCTTCCCTTTCCATCCAGATTTATCTGGTGGCAGCTGCAGTGGTGGTTGGAAGGCCCTGCTTTCTGACTTCCTTGTTTTGGGGCCCATGGAGGTGCCGCAGCAATGTTCTGGACACAAGGATCTATGGAAAATATAAAGACATGACTGGGAACTCCCTTCCTATGGATCTTTGCATCTTGGACACTACCACCAGGTAGATTTCTTGAGTAAGGAAAGGTTGCAGCATGGTAGAATTGCAGAAGCTGGTTAGGAATGGAGAGTCCTTCTAGAACTATCATGCTCCAAATAACATAATCAGGAGTGTGACAGGGTTTACACAGAGAATAGTTTCATGTACCTCTAGTCAGAACATGCTTGCTTTGAGGGCAGGTAATTTTACTAATATTCAGTCAGCAGACCTACATCCATGGAGGTTAGCTGGAAGGAGGCGAGGCCACTAAAGTGAACAAGTGCCCCAGTTAGTGGCCACATGGGAGACTTCGATTTTTTTAAAAAATAATAATAATAATAATTTTTGGCACCACCACTAACAGTTCCTTTGTGGCATATTCATGTTTCCTGACTGAAACATCTTTGCCAAATTAAAGCAGGAGGTACTTCAGCTGTCAGAAGTTTAGAAACAAGACATCTCTTTGAGTATTTGATTGAATTCACCTTCAAGCCACCCAATGAGCACACTGCAACTTTCCCCAGTTTGGGAAGGCATGATTGTAACTATGTATTTGTCTGCCATTCTGTTTACAGGAATGTGCAGGATAACTGCTGCCTGCGACCATTTTATATTGACTTCAAGAGAGATCTTGGATGGAAATGGATACATGAACCTAAAGGATACCATGCAAATTTCTGTGCAGGAGCGTGTCCCTATTTATGGAGCTCAGATACTCAGCACAGTCGAGTAAGTCTCTCCTCTTTGTTTGATGGGATGGTAGGATATCTGAGACTAAAAATGTAGTGGTGTTCTTAAGCCTGCCGTCATCAAACTTGTCACTCTGGCACATCATTCTTAATATTACGATTATGGATTCCATCTTTTCAAAACAAAGAGATACCTAAGAATGACAATACCCATAAAGTGTTAAAAATTCAAAACATAAAGCTCCCCAGACCTTTCGGATTTCTCTTCCCCCTATTCTCACATGAGAAAGACCCATCCAGCCAAATTTATGTATCCAAGGTGTTCCACCACACCAAGGGACAGCAAGCGCTTATCATCTTCTCACAAAAGAGAACCTTCTATGAACCTTCTTCTCTTTCAGCTCCCACCCTCTTCTCACACATGGAAGTTGCCATCTTTTTCCTAATCGGTCACTCTCCAATCACTGCTTGGCCTGTGTCATCCCAGCCTCAGTGCCTTTTCCTAGCTGAAACAGTGGACCTGTACTGTTCGGATTAGATCCCCCTCTAAGCCAGGTCTGAATCACTTGAGTAATCCTGATTTACTCACTGTCCTAATGATTTCATTCATAGAAGTCATTGTAAATCAGACCTGCACAATACATGATCTGCTGGTTAGGCAGGCATGTTCTGTGTGAAGGAATTCATCTGGGAAACAGTGATCTAGATTGTACACATTCTGTGCTCTGGATTCTGGAAAGTCAGCAGAGAATTTGGCTATCTGGTTCGTGATGTGATATTCTGAAAACACTGCCTGTCATTTCTTATATAAAAGCTTGGTTGTAAAGAAAATGTTTGAAGGATTTGAGGCAGTGGCCTGCTTAGAGTTAGAAGCCAACTCATTTTGCCTAATGAGGAGGGCAGCCCCAGCTCCAAAGTTCAAGGAAACCAACTCAGTAACGAATGGCAAACTTGCAAAAAGCTTCCAAGGCATAAACCCTGTGGGTTGCTGGAATAGTTCATGGCATTTGTAATTACCAAATGCACCTTCTCTTAGAAGAGCATTCCAATCATGTATACAACACAAAATGTTAATAGACTCACAGAAAGATACACTGAACATTACAGTATATTTAAGTGATATCAAATGCCATATCTGAACAAATGTAGTATCTCTTCATTACTGTCTTGTTCATGGAAAGGCAGGCTATAAATGTCCTGAATAACTAAACTAGGATGCGACATATTAAATATATTTATTTCCCCATTCTTTTCCATCTAGGTACTCAGCTTGTATAACACCATAAACCCAGAAGCATCCGCATCTCCATGCTGTGTATCCCAGGACCTAGAACCCCTCACCATCTTGTATTACATTGGCAAAACGCCCAAAATTGAACAGCTTTCTAACATGATTGTAAAGTCGTGCAAGTGCAGCTAGAGAATACTCTGGGACAGCACAGTGTGTGCATTTTTGTTTTTCCCTGGAAAAAAAGAGGAAGCAATATAATTACGAAGAGGAAGAAACAAAAGAACACATAGGATCAGCAGTGTTTTTAAAAGGAAAATGAAAAAAGAACGGTACTTGTCTGAAATGTTTTTGAGAGTTTGTTTCATTGTTTCGGTTAGTGTTTTACTTTAAACTGGCATCTGAAGCAAAACCGTGAAGTCCTTATCCAACATTTCACCTACTTGGTTAGTGAGGTAGACAAGAAGCATTTAAAAACACACACACACAGAATTAATAATACTAACGAGATAGAAAAGGAAACTAAAACCTTTTAAAATTAAACACTGGAAGAATTTGTTAGAGTTCTTATGTGAAAAGGAAAAAAACAGGAAAAAATCCCATTAAGTGGAGTTGCTGTATCTATCCCGTGGCTTACTTGATCTCCATGTCGTTATGCCATAGGCTCCCTTTCTGTTTCTTGTAGTTTTTAGAATGAACAACGCCTTATTTATTTTTGTGTAATACGAACAAATAAGAACATGTTGCCGGGGGGGGGGGGGACACAAAAGTTGGAGACCAAATAAATTTCCACAAACATGTTTAATGCTTAGCAAACATGTGCTCAGAATTCCTGAAAACAGTGATTAGTTTAGGAGGTCAATTAAAGTAGTCTGGTATTACATTGTAGGGAAGTCTTATTTTTTGTTCTTGTTTAAAGAAAAAGCCACACATGCATTGGTGTTGTTTTTTTGTGCTAAGACCCTAGGAGAGCTTTCTGCAAAGCCTCATACCCTTGTTTTAAATACTGAAAAGCTTGTTAATAAAAGACATTGTGTTTCAGTCTCAAAGACAGGTCTATTAAGATTTTTTTTAAAGAAACTGTAAACTGTCCGATTAGTAAACCAGTAAAATATTTAACATGTACTGGTTTAATCTTCAGACCCTAATATGTTGCTGTATAATGCTTTGGGATTTTTTTTTCTGGTATATGTAACAATACCTATAGTATTACAATAGGTGGGTAGTAAGAAGCCAGCTTAATTGGAAACATATCTGTAGATGTCTGTTGTAAACTATTAAAAAATTAAGTACTTTATGTGTAATGTGTAAATTTTCACCATATTTTTGTATACTGTAATACTGTCAACTCTGATGAGTTTGAATTTGGGGGCTCTCATTGATCACTCAGAATCATGTGTTTCCCTCTAGCTGGCCAGTATGAGTAGAGTCCCTGTATTTTGACTTGCACTACAAATACATGTTTTATAATATTTGCGATACACATGCTTTGTATGTTGTCTTTCATCATCCCAATGGGGGAGGGGGTCATTTTGCCAAAAGGTAGATTAAATTATTATTTTGTGTAAACTATTCCCATCATCTGTGCAGTTTACAATAGAAAGCTTCAACACAATTTGATGTTTTTCATCATATTTTGAGGTTTGGTAGGAAGAAGGAACTATACAGAAGAGAATCCATTGGGTGGAAAGCCAGATAGCCAGCAGGATACCAAGCAAATTGTGGATATCAAGCTGCTCTGCAATTGACAGTCATAGGTTACCCTCAAGGGCTTTTATTATTTATTCATTTTTAAAAAAACATTTTCCCATCTACACTAGGGCTCAAGATAGCCCATGTAAGTTTAAGAAAAAATGCTTTCATCATCCATAACACCAAACATAATTTTATCTGTAATACAACAACTTTCATAGCTTAAAACCACCATACTCCCTCCAAATATGATATTCCAAAATCAGCAGCATGGCAACAATCAAAGGTTTTGAGTTGTTCAGTGCCAAATTGAACAGAGGCAATGATCAGCTGACATCTGATTGCCAATAATCAAACAAGATAAGTTTAACTGTTGAACATATTCAAAATGTTTGTGGCATCCTGAAATCATGGGATAAGAGGCCATGTCATAGACTGGTAACTGGTTTAAAAAGAGAAAGTAGTGTGTGGGAATAAATGGACTGGAAGTGGGGTGAAGTGCAAGGATGATGAACACGTATGGGGATTGAACAGGTGAATGGCAACAAAATGGCAGTTTCAAGTCAATGTAAATGCAAAGTGATGCACATGAAGGGGGCAGAATCCTAATTTCACATATTATGATGATGGGGTCTGAAATGAAGACTTTAGAGTTGTAGTGGGTAGCTCACTAAAAACAGCAACTCGGAGGGCAGCTGTGTATTTGTTTTTTAAAGCCAACTCCATGCTAGGGAGAATCAGAAGGTTTGACAAGAAGAAACTAGCTACAAGGTATGTTTTACACCTATTCTCCATGGGGACTTTTTGTCATATGTTAGCTGCAAGTTCCCCACTGGAATCTCATTCCATAAGTGTGGCGGGGCTTCTGTTCAGATCACACTCAGTGCATAGGGGGTGTCTGCAATTATCTCCCATGATATTTTCCCAGCTGTTGGGGCTATATGTGTACTAATGAACTACATATGCCTTTCCCAACAGGGCAAGTAGTACCTGGGGCTGTTATGAGTTGGAAAAATTGTGCAGTGGGGAGGTATATTTGCGTGCTCCAAAGTCCTAGTCCAAATTGAGTGCAACATGTAACATGTAGTCAAGTCCTATCAGTTCAGTCCTTGGCAGAGTAAAATTGAACTCAATGGGCTTAGAACTGTCAGTAGAGTAATGCCCTCCTACAAGTCCCTGTGGTTGCCTCGCTGGGAATACTGTGTACAGTTCTGGTCCTCACAGTTCAAAAAGGATACTGAAGAACTGGAGGAAAATGCTAAGAGGGGCAACCAGAATAATCACAGGGTTGGAGTGCTTGCCCCATGAGGTGAGGATAAACCACTGGACTTTTTGATTTAGATAAGACAAGCCTGCTACCCGTGCTTCGCTATGGTATTTATGTTCCGTAAATCCAGTTATAATACTGATTATGTGAAATTTGAAATGTGACATTTCTTGTAGGAATTCTAACGGAGAAGATTATAGTGTAAGAAATGAAGTGAGACATACGTACTTTTTCCCCTCTCTACTGAAGGACCTCTCTCTAGACCACATTGGTGGTTCTGCCCTTAGGTGCTAGGATCACCAGGCTGCTTGATGAGCTCAGTCTGGAGCAGGCCACATAGAACTGTCAATTTAAGAAGTAGTCGTCTGTTAAGTCCACTCCTGCTACCTTCCACGAAAGTGATGGCCTCTCTACTTGTGTTCCTGGATTGTTTTGCTTATATGGAGACTGTGTGGTTCTAAGCACCTCAGGGTGATCTTGCTGGTACTTGGCCTGTGCAGCTGAGTGCACTGCAGGAGTACTGTGTGCAAATGTCTTTGCCACATTCCTAAGTTGCCTCCTTGTAGCGTTGGTGTATCTGGCTCGATGTTTGCCAGGTGCTTTCTTGGGGGCAGTGAGAGATGTGAGGGGGAGTTGGTGTGAGGGAGTGGTGATGTGGTGGACATTTCTTCAGGTTCATGAGGGAAGCACGCATCGAAATGGCTCCTAGAAATGTCCTTTACTATCCCCCCATAAACATC